GGAGCCTGGGGCGGCAGTACCTCCAGCTCCAGTACGGGCTGGAGCGCTAGCGGCGGCGGCGGCGGAGGTGGCGGTGCGTCCAGTGCTGGCAACTGGTTCGGTGGTGGAGGTGCTTACTCCCTTACTCTTCGTCGTCTGCGTGCGTGTGCGGTGGTGCGTGTGCGGTGGTGCGCGCTGGCGTGACCTGCGACTGCGACTGGCCAGTGTGTGTGAGATTAACTATGTGTGTTGTTTTTTTGTTTTTTTTTTTTTTTTGACTGACGACAGAGCGAGTGCTCACGGCCGACATGGTGGACACCAAGACCTCGGAAAATGCGTTGCGGATCGCGTTGGAGGCGCGCGAGATGGGCATCGACACCATCACCGAGCTCGAGTACCAGGCCGGCACGTTCCATCCTCCGTCCCCATAGCAACCTGTTCGTTTTATTATTTATTATTTATTATTTACTATTATTATTATTACTAATATTATTAATACATGAAACCTGACTGTGGTGTGAACGATTGCGTCTACAGAGCAAATTGACAGAATCGAACGGGACGTGGAGAACATTCACGCCAACCTGGACAAGGGCGACCGGCTCATGAGGTACGTACCTACCTCGCTCTCGTGGTCTACAAGCACCGTACACCCGACTTACCACCTTGTGTGTGTGTGTGTGTGTGTTCGCACACAGGGGCATAGAGTCGTTTGGCGGCTACCTAAAGAACAAGTTTTCGAGCGCAACACAAATCCGCGGCACCGGAACGGCCATCGAACGCAAGGTACTGCCGCCAATACTGCAATCATTCGACCCTTCGCCTCCACCACCACCACCACCACCACCCTGGCTTGAGTTGCTGCCTGTACACCGACACGTCCCGTCTTGCTCACTCCTCCTTCGTTTCGCTCTCGCTCGCAATCATCACCGATCTTCGTGAACAGATCGAGTGGCAGAAGAGGCGGCCAGAGAAAATCGACATCCCCGTCCTTCTCAAGCACAAAAATGACCTCCGTACGTTGCCTATGCTCGGCTGCTTCCGCTTCTGTTTGACGGCTCATTGCGCGCAAGCCCACAGCTCACACAACCTTCTCTGTTCGCTCTTTGCTTTTTTGCCGTGTGTGTCGTGTGTGTGTGTCGTGTTGTGTGTGTCGTGTGTGTGTGTGTGCAGTCACGCCCGCAACGCTGCGCATCGAAACGGCGCAGTTCTCGGTGCTCAACGAGAGCATGTCCAAGATCCGCGGAATGACGTGGCAGTACGAGGACGTCCTGGAGCTCGTCGTCCGGTCCCGACCCCTCCACCTGGACGTGCGGTTCGGCGCCAAGCTCCCGCGTTTCCGCCTCGTGTCGTCCTACATCCAGCCCATCGTCAACGAACTCTATTTCCGCTGCACCGAGGTACACTTGTCGCGTGTGCGTTGTGTGCGGTGTGCGGTGTGCGGTGTGCGGTGGCATCAGCACGGTACTCACCAGATTGCACCACACGCACACGC